CCCAGCGTTCAAGACGGCGCTGTTGATTGTGAATGGGCGAACAGTCAGCTTCGCAGATTTTCTTGCTCACATCCAAGTTCAGTTCAGTTCAGTTTGTACAACCATTAACCACGCATAGTTGTGCGCCGGTTTTGGTTGCAGTCTTTTGGCTGCCCATTTGGATGATGAATAGGAGAAGAAACGAAAGCTGAAAGTGGAGTCGAACAGAAAATGGAGAAGTTCAGTGGTCTAAGGTTGCAAAGAAATTGAGAAGATACACAAACACCACTGTTTGCGACACCCAGCCATATCACTCAGTGTCTCTAATCATCGGTTACGATCATCCCGAGGTCCCTGTGGACTATCGACTGGGATCCATTCCAGGAACGCGGTTTCAGCTCTCTCACTGAGAGCCACGCCGACTCCAGCGAGACCGGAAACCGCAGCTTCAGGGTCCCCAGAGAGGCGTAAGTGAAATTTCACTGATGGGTTTGACGGGGACGTCAATCGGATAATGGAGCTGGAGTATGGAATGCGAGTTTCTTGGATATAACAGAAATCGATGACTAGGGTTGAAAGCATACGAGCTAAACACGCCTTTTGTCCGATACGCATCAGAATTAGTGATGAAGCACCTGGTCTATCTCACCCCCAAGGTTCTTTCTCACGCATATCAAGTCCGCCCGGAAAAGCGGCAACAAGCTATTGCAGATAGTCCGGTAGCCTTCAGATTACCTTCAACAACTAATCTAATGGTGGCACGTTGTACATATTTTTACTTATCTAACATAAGAGCTGTGAAGAAATATGTCACTGCATCGTTGTACTCCGAGCTCGGTCTGATGTGAGTGGCTTAAGGTGGTCTGAAGATATCCGGTGTTAGTCAATCAAAATATATATCAAAAGGTCACTGAACACTCCACGCTGACGGACCTGATAGACCTGATAGGCGTTATTGTGTGTCTTCAGTGAAGATGTTATCTGGAGTCAGAGTACCCTTTCGCGAGTTCTCTTAGAAACTGTAAACCACCTCCAAATCATCACGCCCCGGAAACAGGGAAGCATACTAAGTAGTCTTAATCAAACTAACCCAAATGTCCCCTCGGTGTCAGCCTTTTCATATCACACTTTGAGTAGCATTCGCTCCTCAGAACGCAAGATCTTGTTCCAGATTTTGATCCTGCCAAGAGACATTAAGGGTGATCAGTGCGATAGTCTGGTTAGGTTCAAGTTTAGTTCAGTTTGTACAGTCATTAACCATGCACGTTGGTGCACTGGTTACGGTTACTGTCTTTTGGCTGCCCATTTGGATGAAGTGGTTGAAGCAAGATTGAAAAGTTGAAAGTAGAGTGGAAGCGAAAATCGAGAATATCAGTAGGTTAAGATTGCAAAGAAATTAAGATGTACGCCACTGTTTACAACACTCAGCCATATCACTCAGTGTATCTAACCACCGGTCAAGATGATTACGAGGCCCCTATCCAGAAAGCTTAATGCAATCTCTGTGAGCAGGTCTCTCGGTTAGAGTTTTCATACTCTCATGTTCAGTTCTAGTTGGACCACCCTAGACATTTTTCTGTCCACTACTTACCGTGGCAAACAAACATCAAGCACCGTGACCTAAAACTCTGAACATAACCTCGACATTGTCTGTCTTGTTTCCCCGCTAGACTCGTGCTGTGCTACGTAAAAAGTAGTGTTCAAACACCCATAGTCTCTTTTTATCTTGTTTTCGTTATGGATAAGATTCTGCGCCTTATAACAGCATCGTCCAAAATGATGTAGCAAATACTTTATCCCCCACAGACAACGGGATGTTGCGACAGCATCACAGATGTTTGTCAAATACCAATCAAGCTTTCTGTACTCGTCCCGACCCAAATAACACTGACTGTTCTACTTCTGTGTTTCATCTCAAATGCGTCGACTACGGTCAGTCGTGACGAGCATCTAAATGGGTCTTGTAAATTGTAAACAACCAAGTAACTGCTAGTTAGAATACATGAGTTGTGGCTGTGATAGATGTGCACTGAAGTACTCTGGCGCAGAGAATGTACCGGTAAGCACTGTCAAAAATTGGTTTTAAAGCACAAAGGCACAAACGGACCGGTGAGAGCAGTAGCATGCAAACAGATCGAAACCGAATACAGAAAGAAGGAAGGAAGGAATGAAGGAATGAAAGAAGGAAGGAAAGATACAGTAAATGGAAACGGTGTAAAACAGTTGTCCCAATGCGTTGGTACGGAGATAAAAGTGCAAACATACAGTTTGATTGTGAAGGAAGAGTGATGTTTAGAAAATATCTGATTTTGTCCAGATTTTACCTTAAAATCGATCACATTACAACATGCTTCTTGCAAAATGTGTGAAACAGCTTTCGGTACTGCTAGCGCAAATGTTCCGAACGTGTGCATACTATGTGAGATTAGGGGTCGCATTATTGACGGTGGAATGTGAAGTGATGATACTCAACATCGAGTCAAATGCATGACCCTTATTTGTTACCGGAACTGGTTGTATTCTTGGGTAGCTAGTCGGTACGCTATTTCCGAGACACAGTTCAAGCGTTGACGACGAGACTTACACGCGATTGAATGGGCATGCCAAAAGATGCCTCGTCTATAGCTGTGGCAGTGGAAAAATATTGTGTGCTTGAACTTAATACGAGTGTCTCGTTTAGAGGCTGAGGAAGATAAGGATAAACTTCGATGTTATCGTGCATAACGTTTTCATCAACGTATGCTGCTTTTAGGTGATCCATGCTAATTGTATCGATGTGGCGATATTCATCAACCTTTAACTTTTTATCGTGACGTGAAATGACACAAAACGGTCACTTGTAAGATTGTTGTAAAGGTTACGTACCGAATCGACTCGAATGAGTACGTGGTAGCAGGAAGAAATACTCAGAGGGCGAAAACACCTGCCGCTTTGTATTCGGGTTTGTACCCGAACACAGTGTTTGCATGAATGTAGACAAACATTGAACTTACGTCTGTAAGTTTATTCTCATGTGCCTTTAGGGTAGCTTTAAGTTGGCGGTGGAAACGCTCGACTAAATAGTTAGATGCTGGATGGTAAGTAGCGATTCGAATGAGTTCCGTACCCAGCAAACTAGTTAATGAGGAGAAAAGACTAGACTCGAATTATTATCCTCTGTAAGCGGTAACGGTAGAAGGACAACCGTACAAAGCTAACTAATCTTCGTTGTTCAAATTGTTGAGCCACCGTTTTGGCGCAGACCGTTGAGATGGTAATATCTCCGGGCCATCCTTGAAACCTCCAAACGCATTTATCCAATCGATTTCTTGTCGCTTGAAAAAACTGATACACTTTGAACAATTAAGAGAACTTCCGAAACGTTGTCTTCAAAAATTGCTAGGTGCCTTCCGTTGTAACCGATCAAATATCTCATATACATAGCTATAAGCTTGTACGATAATAGATGCTCATTGTTTATATCATACTTCTTTTCAGACAGCCACAAAATCCGATTGGGAATAATTGCCCCAACAACTCTGTTACTGCATGTCCATCCCTACCCATCGGGGTGAGTTCTATCAGTATATTCATGCTTCAAATGGATTAAAGAGTTTCTCTTGAAATTCATATTCCTATACACTT